AAAATATATCAAATCAAAAATCAACATATTAATTAAAAGACACTTGATATTGATTTATATTATTCGCGTATCAAAACTATAAGCTATTTATGTAAAATTATTTTATTTTTCATTAGAGATTTTGTCTTTTCTATATTTAAATCAAATTATGCTCACATCATATGAGAATAGTTGGATAGCAAAAAGTAGGAAAAAATTTGTTATACCCCATTTAAAATTAAATAACTCTTTGAAATAGCTTAAAATGAAAATTATGTTACTTTCAAATCAAAGGGTGTTAATGGATTCTTTTTACCATGCATTTGATACTATAACGAAAGGTATATGACTTTGTACAATGTTAAGTTATTTTGGAGGTAATTGTGAAATATGCTTAATCTTGAATCTCATTAGGGTAGAAAAGTTTGTTAATTGTGTGTGTGTGTGTCAAAAACCTCATTTGCTATGGTTAAGTTTGTGGATATGGGTGAGTAGAAAAAAGGAAAGAAAGAAAGAAAACACTTATCAATGGATTTTGTACAACCTTGTTTTGTTAAATCATAATTTAGAATAATTTATTTTTTATGAAGGAATATCGCGTAAACTTCTTTTGGTTTAATAAATTTTTTAATTTATACTAGGTTACTGAACACTCAAATGTGAGAAAAATTTATTTTATTATTTTAAAAAAATTATGTCAATTTTCAATGATGATTTTGACCTTAATGATACTAATCAATTTAACACTGAAACCTAAAAAAAAAAAAAAAAAAGCTAAAATGCTCCTATCCCTTAAGTTTTAGTTGAAATTTCAAATGAGTTTATTAGTTTTCAAAATAGACACTCAATCCTAAAAATACAAATATCATTAACAGATATTAGGAAAGAACTAAAATGTCTTTTTTATTAATTTTAAAAATTATTATTACTTTTTTTTAAAAAAAAAAAAGAAAACACTGATCAATGTTCTCCAACTCCCTTAGAAAGGGGAGCACCGAGAGTGGAACTCCAGTGCTCCCCATCTGGGGAGATTTTTTTTTAATTAATAAAAACTTAATAAAATTATATGATAGTAATTTTAAAAATTAATCCATGGTAAAATTACCTTTTTATCATTATCACATCATCAAATCGATGGAAACACTAACGGTAGACTAACAGCTGGATCTAAGGGTCTAGCAGAAATATTTTTTAAAAGCAGAATGTTCATTTTGAAAACTAATACACTTTTATGTAATTTCGATCGAAACTTAAAAGATAAAGGTATTTTACCTAAAAAAAACACACACACAAAAAATAAAATCATATATAGCTGATGAAAGTTATAGTGATTTTTATATATAATAAAAAGCTCAAATTATATAATTAGTTCGTATACTCTACCAAAATGATGAATTTAGTTTTTATATAATAATTCGTAAAATAAAGTTTTTATGCTTTTTAAAAGTGACGATATTCATCCAATTATTAACAGTATTAAAATTTTTTTAGTTTTTTATACCAATATAATATTTGAATGTATTGACGTGATATATTCTTACTAACGTGATATTGAATATGGTAATGTGACACTGAATATGATAATATGACATCCAATAGTGATGCAATAATTATGACAATGTGTCATTAATAAAATATAAACATGAATTTTAAGTGATGATTTAATACTAATGTGGCACTATTATATTATTGTCATGACATTTCTGCAATTTATACATAATGAATGTCAATTTTTTTAGTACTAATTAAGAATTTAAAGATGTGATCCTAGCGGCACATGTTCTCACCACCATGGTCTATGTCTTTGTGGCCTGACCTTAGTCTGACTTTTAATCATACCTTCGGCCATCGTGTGGATTCTTTCCTTCTTTTTTATTGATCAAGAAAAATTACTCAAAAATTGCATTTTCTTAATTTTGTTTTAGGAGAGATTTGAGGATAGAGACAAACTTAACAATGAAGCGATCGACCTACATTCCCACTTTTTATGCAATTAATATCATTTTGTATGGTTATTTTGTAAATACCAAAATGAGTTGATTGTATCCTTGGGACAACATTTTGCACATACATCTTTCAAGTTTTCTTCACCATTTCACCTTCATCAAAATATGAAGTTTATGAAACGAGAATATTAGCTTCTATTCATTTTGTAGCCTAATCATAGGAAAGAAACAAATAATTAAAGGTTTTTCGTAAAGATAAAAATATAGAATTGTCAATTGACATCAAAGCTACTTAGCATGGCCATGCTTACAAAAGTAAAAGAGATTAAACCACAAACCAATGCTTAAAGAAGACAACGAAGATTAAGACAAGGCAAAGCAAAGGATTTGTTGGTCTTTGTCCAGGCTACAAGCCAGGTACCCAAATTTCGACATCCACTACCCTTCTTTGTCCCTTTCAAAAACCAGCAGCAATAAATAATTTTCCACTTTTACCCTTCTCCCTATCAGAGCCTATATGACTCTATGGGAGTGATAAAAAGCTTAACGTGGGGTTCACTTTCTGAGCCCCACTCTGACAAACGGCTAGCTGAGGTCTAAGTTCACATGCCAATTTATCGTCAATTTCCAATATCACGATAAATTGAAAGAGGGCTCGGATCACCTTTGGGGCACGGAGGAGCTAACCTATATGTACACGAGGCGCACATTCAAGAGGTGATCGTACTAGGCGTAGTGCTTAGAATAAATGGGGACGCTTTGTTTAATGGACACGTTTTTTTGGTCAAAACTGGCATGTGGAATTCTGATGGTAGATAATCTAACATTCTATCTGCATAACCAGTTTCTGAGGATGAATGAAGCAGAGAGTGAGCATAATCATAACATGTCTCCTTAACGGTTTATAAGAAATGTGGGGATAATCATGACTGCCCAATTCTCTGCTCTGGCTCATCTCTTTTTCTTCAACATTAACCCTCTAATTTAATACCTTCCTCCCACTTGCATTAACAAAATGCAATTAGTTTGGCACTCGCATTAAAAATATTGTACTAATTAACCAAAACTAATGACTTCTCTTCATGGTTCCAACCCAATATTTCTTTGGTACAAAAAAGAGTAAATTACATCTGTGTTCTTTAAAAACTGAGATGCATACTGTTTTAAAAATAATTTGTTGGTTTTTATATTTCAAATGTTTTTAAGCGTGTGCAAATTTAAACTGAATCGAAGAATCGGGTTGAGTTGCAGCGAGTACAGTTTTTTTTTATTGGTTAATTCGGTGTTCGGTTATTTTAGTCAAATATATTCGATTACAATGGTTTAATCGATTCCATTTTCGGTTGAAATAATTTTCAACCAAACTAAGCGAAGGGAAAAATGTTTATATAAAGAGGGGTAATTTTATTGATTACACAAAATTTTGTCTAAAGAAATTCTAACTTTTATTATAACAAAGTTAAAGTGTAAAGAAATTATATTTGAATTTATAAATCAAATATTGTTTGATATCTTACATATATCTAATTTTAGTATTTTTTAATAAGTTAAATTTTCAGTAACTGAAGTAGTTTAATTTTTAATTTGTCAATTATTAACATTTTTTTGATCAATTTCAATTTTTTTAGAAGAAATTCAATTTTAAAAATTTTACAATTGAATTAACCATTCTAACCGTTTGCACACCTCTTAAATATTTTAATAAAAAACCATTCAATTTATATTTTCTATTAAATATCGAATTAAGAATTAAGTGTCAATTGGTAAGAGAGACACATGTAATAAACATATAAGATGATGTGTTCATTAATTATTTTATTGAAATATTTTATTTAAGTTTTTAAAAAATTCAAATTTTATTTTAAAAAACAAAAATATTTTCCTAATAAATAATATTACAATAAAAATAAAAATAAAGCTTTTTAATATATATTATAATTTAAATTAATTTGTTTTGAAAATTTTTCACAATTTTCCTTTTGTTTTTTTCCTTCTCTCCCTGTCGCTTCTCGCCTGTCAAAGGCTATTTGGCGGTGCCTTCCCGGCGTCCATGTCGACAACTGAAGCTGAGGCAGCTTGTAGCATTGCAGAATACGACTCGAGGAGCCAGACTAGGCTACCTTATCGATTTGGTGCGAAAGGTCAGATATAGCCCCATGGAATGCCAATCGAGTGTCATGACGGGCATCTCAACCCTTCACACCCCAAACTCTCCATTCCTCCTCCTTCTCTTTCTCTCTCGAAGAGGTTCTTTTTCTCTCCTCAAAATTTTCAAAATTAAAAATTATAGTGATAAAAAAAATCCAAAATCAGTCTAAAATATATATAAAAAATACCTCTGAAATGAACCCTAAACCCAAAAATTACCTGGCTATCCGAACTTCATTACTATAGAAGTACTTTTAAATTTATACTTCATTACCATTAATCATTACCTTAATGAAAGTTAAATAGTTTTCTTCTTTTCTTTTTCTTTGTTTTGGTTTACATGACAAAAATGATTGACTAGTTTTTGGACCTGCTCTCTTATGAGGAATATTTTCGGTCAAATCTTGATATAGTTGATTTTATTTTCTTGGGGAACTACCTTAACAACTGAAAAGTTATGGATCACCTGGGAAATGTAACCCTATTTTTATAGAATATAGATAGTTAATCTAATATGCCCCTAAAGTCATTCTCAATTACAAAATCAAAAAATTAATTAAACATCACATGCATATAAATGACTTTTCAATTTAACTGGGACTAGTGTAGTTTTATGATTATAAGAGAGCGTGGGAATTGAGGAATAAAAGCCAAAAATATAATAAAAACTAAATATGGTTGTGTTTATGGTTGGACAAATGGAAAACAGACAAGGGATATACGACTAATTGTCATGTTTTCTGTTTTACCAAAACCTGTTAAAAGAAACACTCTCGTTCTCATCCTCAACAAAGAGTTTTCGAGGAAAATATCATGATAAGTTGCTTGGAGATATATTGCAACAAAAATAGTATGCATCGCAGTATAGTATTCCTTACCAACTTTGACCTTTTCCCAATTTTATTATCTTACTCTTACTCACTCTAATTAAGTAATTCCATCGATCTTCCCAAGGCCTTGTAAGCTGAGAACTTTACCATTCTTCAACACTGCGTGTCCCAGCTTTCACTCTCTGCTTCTCTCTCTTTTGAGTCTCCCAGAGGTTCCTGTTTTCAAGCCTTCTCCTTCATCGCTTGGTTTTTCCTGGTAGCCAAAAAGGTAAGGCCTTTGAACCCCAAGCTTTGCACTTCCAACATTTTCTCTCCAACGGTCATATTTTCTCTTTGATGTGGAGATGTTTTCTTTGGTCTTGGTGGTTCTTGCTCTGTTCAACTTTCATGGTTTAGCGACTTGTTTGAACAATGAAGGCTATGCGCTTTTGTCATTTAAGCAGTCCATTTATGCGGACCCTGAAGGGTCTTTAAGTAACTGGAATTCTTCCGATGACAGCCCTTGTTCATGGAATGGGGTTACATGCAAGGAACAAAGAGTTGTTTCTGTTAGCATTCCAAAGAAGAAACTCTATGGGTTTCTTCCTTCTGCCTTAGGCTCTTTGCCTGATCTTCGCCATGTAAATTTGAGGAACAACAAATTCTTTGGTGGTTTGCCTGTTGAGCTTCTTCAAGCTCAGGGCTTACAGAGCTTAGTTCTTTATGGGAATTCCTTATCCGGGCCTTTGCCTACGGAAATAGGGAAACTTAAATATCTTCAAACATTAGATTTATCTGACAATGTCTTTAATGGGTCATTACCCTCATCACTTGTTCAATGCAAGAGACTAAGGGCCCTTGATCTCAGCCAAAACAATTTCACTGGTTCTCTGCCAGATGGGTTTGGGTCTGGCTTGCTTTCTCTTGAAAAACTTGATCTCTCATTCAATAAGTTCAATGGTACAATTCCTAGTGATTTCGGAAATCTGTCTAGTTTGCAAGGAACTGTTGATTTGTCTCACAATCTCTTCACTGGTTTAATCCCTGCTAGTCTTGGAAATCTTCCTGAGAAGGTCTATATTGATCTCACTTATAACAATTTGAGTGGGCCAATACCCCAAAATGGTGCTCTTATGAACAGAGGACCGACAGCATTTATTGGGAATCCTGGGCTTTGTGGCCCCCCATTGAAGAACCCTTGTTCTTCAGGTACTCCAGGTGCGAGTTCACCTTCTTCATTTCCGTTTCTGCCAAATAACTACCCTCCTGGAAATTCAGATGAGAATGAGGGTAAAAATGAGAGAGGAAGAGGACTAAGTAAGGGTTCTGTTATTGCTATAATAGTGAGTGATATAATTGGAATTTGCCTTGTTGGGTTGCTATTCTCCTATTGTTATACAAGGGTCTGCTCATGTAGTAAGGATAAGGATGATAATGGTTATGGTTTTGAGAAGGGAGGGAAGGGAAAGAAGGACTGTCTGTGCTTCAGGAAAGATGAGTCTGAGACATTATCAGAAAATGTAGAGCAGTATGATCTTGTGCCACTGGACACACAGGTGGCATTCGATTTGGATGAGCTGCTTAAAGCTTCAGCTTTTGTTCTGGGGAAGAGTGGAATTGGTATCGTGTACAAAGTTGTGCTTGAAGATGGGCTTACCTTAGCCGTGAGAAGATTGGGTGAAGGGGGCTCTCAGAGGTTTAAGGAATTCCAGACAGAAGTAGAAGCAATTGGCAAGCTGAGGCATCCTAATATTGCTACACTCAGAGCCTATTATTGGTCTGTTGATGAAAAGCTGCTCATATATGATTATATACCTAACGGAAGCCTTGCCACTGCATTGCATGGTATGTTTCACCAAGTCTTCTTTCAACAAATATAAATTTCTTTCAGTTAGTGCAGCAGTTAGTTTATTGTTTTTTTTATCTGTCTTTTGTATTGACTGACTCCATTTTCTTATCATTATCAGGGAAGGCAGGAATGGTATCATTCACACCATTATTGTGGTCTGATCGACTAAAAATCATTAAAGGCATAGCCAGAGGCTTGGTTTATCTGCATGAATTCAGCCCCAAAAAATATGTTCATGGAGATTTGAAGCCAAGTAATATCTTACTTGACCAGAACATGGAACCACACATTTCTGATTTTGGACTTGGAAGACTTGCTAATATTGCTGGAGGATCTCCAACCATGCAATCTAACCGAATGCCTTCTGATAAACCACAAGAGAGACTACAAAAGAGTGCTTCCTCAGAAGCTACTGCCGTTTATTCCTCAATGAACTTGGGATCTTATTACCAGGCTCCTGAAGCCATGAAAGTGGTAAAACCATCACAGAAGTGGGATGTGTACTCATATGGGGTAATCCTGCTAGAAATGATCACAGGGAGATCACCAGTGGTTTATGTGGGCACCTCAGAAATGGATCTTGTTAATTGGATTCAGCTGTGCATTGAGGAGAAAAGGCCACTTTCAGATGTTTTAGATCCATATTTAGCCCCAGATGCAGATAAAGAGGAGGAGATAATTGCAGTTCTAAAGATCACAATGGCTTGTGTGCATAGCAGCCCTGAAAGAAGACCTACCATGAGGCATGTCTTTGATGCTTTGGAAAGGTTGGTCTTATCCACTGATTAAGAAATCGATTAAATCCAAGAATCCAGTGCCTCATGGGATATACTTGAAATTCTTTACATCAAGCTGAGGATGGTTTCAAGATTATGGTTAGTTCCGCTTCAACTGAAATGATGTACTCCTAGAACAATTGTGACAGTGGAGAGAAGCGATGCAATTGTGCTCTAAAGCAAATGGTTGTCTTTATTTCTGTAGGATTCCCTTCTTTGTCTCGAGGGCTAGGTGATGGTAGGTCTGCTATAAGAGCTGCTGTGAGTTTTTAACTGCTTTTGCATGAATTGGCTGTTCGCATATACTGTACGTGATTGGTGTTATCTTCTTGCTCTTACAGCAGACCCGTTGTCCCTTGTTTTTCTTGGTCAATAAAGTTAATATTTTATTTGTTTGTTTTGTATTTTCCTTTGTTATGACACATGATCATGAGCAATGGAGGAAAAATATATATTTTCCCTACGCATCAATTAAGAACGATATATGTTTTGTGACTTGGAGACCGCGACGCGCACGCCGGGGAGAACTGAGAACTCCAATGCTCGGTTAAGTGGCCTGCAAGCACCCTGCCGTGGTATTAAATAATATACAAAGTACAGAAAAGCTGGATGCATATGGCTGCAGAGAAGTTCTTTTGTTCCCCCTCTCAAAGAAAGATGGAGAAACAGGGACTTTACTCTTGGGGTTGAAGGAGGCATGCACCTATCATTGAATTTAAAGAATTGTGTTGGGGCTTGCTTTTCTTTGACTCTCCGGTCTTGGTTCACATGGAAAAAAAGGCAGTATCGGGACATAGATCTGAATTGAGAAGGGCCTCACTAAGTAACCTGTCAAATTTTGCCCCCCCAAGTTAATTATTTAGAGTTGACAATTGAATATGCTTTTCACATTATTGGTCCTGTTTCAAATCATTGAATTCTCTAGGTGCTTTTGACTCAAGGGTCATTCAAGAGACTTGTTGTCAGCTGCCTTTGTGCGATTAATCTATCAAGTGAATATTTAGAGTAACAAGGACCATCAAATTATGTATACAAGTACTCTTAAACTCAATTTTAGAATAATTTTATGTCAGATTGAGTTAGTGAAGTCATTATTAAACAGTTGATTGTAACTTATTTATGAGATTTTAGAGAGTTATATATATATATATTTAGGAAAGAGAGATTTGAGTTTTACTTTTTTTGTTAAAAAGAAATCATTTAACAACAAATGAGTTAAATGCTTATATGCATTTTAAAACCTTTCATGCATTTCATGTTTAAATATGTAAAATAAAAGAACAGAAATGAGTTAATCCAATGACGGGACTAGATATTGGAGAGGCTGAGGTCTGGGGACTCATTCTATGAGTATGCTTTGGGGGAATTTCATATTAGGGCAATGCAATGGAAATTATTAACGTCTATTGTCAAGGGAGTGGATATTTACTAAGGAGGAAATGAAATTTTTGATAATTATTAAGGAAACTCTATTCCCATTTGACCCTTACATCATTTAATATTTTGCAAACTTGCTCATAGAAGTAGGACCCAAAACGGGAACGATAAATTTGTCTTGATATGACATTTCCCAATCATTTTATCATCGAATTAGGTATAACTGCCCGGACTTCTCTTCCGGTGTCGCTTGGCCTCTCTCTCCTCGATTTCCTATCTTTCTCCCTCCTCATGTTGAAGAAATAATTTAACAATTTAAGGTGTAATTTCAATTTCCATAACAGTAACTAAAAAGGGTTGTCATTTCCTTCCGAATAAATATTTATCTTCATGGCAGTGATCTCCAATTATGTCTACATGGCTGCCCTCTTTTGAAATTCCTCCTACGTTTTTCAGGGCACTGCTGATTTAATTACCCTCGATGTGATTTGACATGTCAATATTTCTAGATACCGTCTCTTATATCCCAGTCTTCCACCCATTTTGTCCTCATTCTCAATTGCCTTTATTCTTCTACTTAATTGTTCTACAATATGTAAAAAGTCATTCTTAGTGTTTCCCAACTGTGTCATGTCGAATCAGGCAAAGCTAGAATTCTGCCTAAGCATCGTACCATGTGGCGCGAATGAAGGGGGTAAAACTAAAATATAGGAGAAGAGCCTTAGCTGTCTTTTGGAATTAATTGGCAGTGAATCTGTGTTTTCCTTGAGTTCAACCATTAGCTCATTGTCGGAAACTCTTCGGTCAATTCAGTCCAGCCAGCCAGGCTATTGCTAGCTTAGCATAAAGGAGTCTTGATTGAGTAATTGTAGGCATTTATTAACCAGAGTTCGCGCCATGCAACGAGCCGGATTTTGGCCTTTTTCGGTTTTCGAGCTCGGCGGATTCTGAAAGCATATACGTAACACAGAATGTTTGTCCTGTCTTAAGTACTAAAAATGAAAATATTCATATTTTTTTATAGACATCATTGTTAAGAGGACAGTAATATTTGAACAACCACATCAGAAAAAGGGTTTGGACGTCCTAACTTTGCTTATTTACTCATTGTTGGATGTAGTGAAGGGTAGTAGATTCCAATGCAACAGTTGGCAGAAGCTACTTCAATGCATAAGCACCAAACTGGGCTTGCTGCCTATTCATCATCCTTTTATATATGATATTGTAACGTAATGGTGGGCACTTCATTTAAGGAGCTACTGCCAAGTTTTTTACCCGTTATGAACTAGAAACCTAAACTGTAGTAACATTTTATCTGCCGTGTTAAATGAGAATTGGGAATTTAAATTTGGAGGAAACTCTTAGAGCTATTGAACTTTGAAGGATAAGGATTTGATTGCTGAATTCAAGAATCTGCTAGCTGGAATCGGCAGGGGGTCCTTGTTGGCCATGTTTTTGTTAAAAAAAAAACCATTGATGTTGGGCTGGGAATTAATATCCCTCTCCGCACGTCGCTAAGTGCACCTAGAAAAGACAACAAAACCTTTTTAAAGGAAGTGCGAGCACAACTCTCTTTATAAACAAGGATAAAAATGATTTGTTAGTAATACAAATTTTTGTTGATAATATAGTAGTTGGGTAATTTTCTAAGAATAGCCCACTCGGTGGAATGACTATTTAGTGAGCAAAAGTAAAGCAAATGTTGGAATATTCATCCCACACGGCTTAAAAACTGATAACTTTTGATAGTAATTTAGATTAGTTCTTATAATAATGCATAGAAATTTAGTAAATTTTATCTAAATTATTTTAACTTAATTAATTTAGGTAAGTCAATCTAATCTTAGTTAATTTTATACTTAATTTAGTGTTAATGTGATTGAAATAGATTATTATTGATTTATTTGTGCTTTTGTAGGTGTTTAATGAATGAAGAATTTTAATGGAAGAAGGAAAGCAATTTCAAGATGCAAACTTATACTGCATATATGTTTATATTTCAATCATAACTCTTTTTACAGAACTCCAAATGAGATTATTCTTAAACCATTGAAAAGATAAGAGAAAAAGCTACAACTTTTATGTTGATTACTTTGCCTAGTTCTAAATGAAAAATGATCAAAAATCTTGTTGAAATTGAAATACTGCACTAGTCATAGAGTAACTATGATTTCTGCTAATTAAATGATCGAGGCTACGGCCTTGGTAGAGGTAAGTTATGGCTCACGTAGCCTAATGAAGAAATCCTAGTTGGAATCGATTTCTATCTTCACCCAACTCAGCTTAACTTCAAAGCCTTATAAAAACAATATCTCGAGGACTTTTAGAAGAATGAAACACTAGATTAAAAATTGAGAATCAAACCACAAAATCATTGAAGTTGAGGAGAAATCAAGGGGATTCAAGAAGACTTGGAGATCAAAATTTCAATTCTTGGGTTCTTTTATCTTTTTGTTATTGTTTTCTTGGTTTTTGTTTTTGATGTTTAAACTTAATTTGATGATGGTGATATGTGATTTGATGAGGAACTAAATTATTTATATAAGATTATGATTGAACTCAATACATTGTTTGATTTATTTATCTCTTTTTTGCTTATATTTGATATTTTTTAAGTTGTTTATTCTATTTTGTTCTTAATGCTTCTAGTTGATTGACTACCAATTAAGATTGAATTCGAAACCTATATTAAATCTTGACGAAGGAGATTTGGATAGACCGAGAATAAAATAATGTATGATCGAATATAGTTAGTTGATTAGGTGGTTTGGTTTGCATATAGGGTAGACATACATTTATAAACCATATGATAAATCTATTATATATAGTTATTTTGACACATTTTAGGGGCTTAAGTAGCTAGATCTTTGAGATTTTAGGTTCGAATTTTAGCATTTTATGTGTTTTTTTAGTTTAAGTTTGATTACTTGTTAAGTGGTTAATTTAAGTTATTTTAGTTAAATTTTATATTGTTTTATTTTAAATTACTTTAAGAGTAGCATTGGTAATTTCTTTTATTGCTTTTGTAAAAAAATTGATGAAAAAAACTCATTTGATGAAAATTCATGCAAGTATGGTGATGGCTTGATTTGTATATGTTACGGTATTTTGACCACATCTCTCTCTACAAAACTTTAAATGAGATGATTCTTGAATCAATAGAATTATTAAAAGGAGGGTTACAACTTTTATGTTAACCACTTTGCCCAGTTCTGATTAGATCTTAGTCAAAATATTTGTCTAATTTGGAGCACTGCAGTGGTATGCATGGACTAAACATGATGCGGCATTTGGAGCATATCTTTCAATCCAGAAGTCATTTGATGTGATTCTTAATCCATTGAAAATTTAAAAGACATGGATAAAACTTTTATGTTTACCACTTTTCCCAATTCAGATCAAATCAGGGTGAAAATTATGTTCGAAGTTGATAGACCACTACAGCACTGAGAGAACAAGGCTGTCGTGCTAGTGAAAGCTCACCATATAATTTTCGCGAGAGCTCAGTGTTACAGCACTGAAGAAGTAGTGATGCAGCATTGGGCAATTTTTTAAAAATAAAAAGTTGATGGGATTTTAGAAATTGCGTTTTTTTGGAGCCTATTTAAAGGACCTTTTTCAGAGGTTTAAAGTGGGGGAGGCAACAAGCAATTTCTCTAGAGAAAAAAAACAAAAAACAAAGCAAGAAAGTAAGAGAATTTAAAAGAGTATTAAGATCACAAAGCTTCAACTATTAGTTTTCTCTCTTTACTTTTGTGTTTTTCTTATTTACTTTGATTTGGATTAATTGCTAATTTTCTTTGGATGAAGTTTTTATTAGATATTATGAACTAAACTATTTTTCTAGGATTGCAATTAAGCTCATATGTAATTTAAATTTTTAATCTCTTTCTTGTTTATCTTTAATGGGACTTGAATTGTTTACTATAATTTGTTTTTAATACTTTTAATTGCCTAATCACCAATTAAATTGATTTAAGAACCTAAACAAACTTGGGAAAGGAAGTTGAGTGTAGACTAAGATTAA